AATATCATTCATTGTAATACCAGAACAAATCTAAGACAAATGGGAACCCACTTTTTCTAGCCATAATTCTTTTTTTTAAGTTTTCATTTGATGAATTATTGTTTATAAGTCTGTTTGATAAGTGAGTCACTTTCTGGCTGTGTATCTATCAATGCTCACTGGACATTGTTCAGAAGATGCGTGTCTTCAAGCAGCTAGTCTGTCAGCAGCCAGATTGTGTGTTGCTTTGTTCAATTGTTTTTTGAGATTCAATTGTGTCTGAACTCAGTGTTTCTCTCTTTCTCTCTATCGGTTTATTGTCCTTTCTTTGCTCACATTTGCATAAACACAAAATAATTTCACATTAAAAGCAATATAAAGTCTAAAACAAAGATAGGTGCAAATAGTCAGCCATAATAAAAAAACAAAACATAAGCTTATCAACAGAAGGCATACAGATGTAACCAGAATTATAATATGTATCAACTAGACTGGGCTATGTGAATTATTTGTAAAAATAATGACATGCATGTAAACAGTGAACTTGAGTGATCGTGCTGCCTTTTGAATACAAATTCAGAATAATTTAAATCATAGGTGAAATATACAACGACCCACGCTCTGAAAACGTTGTCTGCATTAATCTGTCCATGAAATATGAATGATGTTGAATGGTATGCCCTTTTCCAACAGTCAGATAAAGGTTTATTGAAGGCCAAACTGAGCAGGATAGAGGTTGCCATGGCTGCAAGTGTGAAAAGGGCATCTGATCTGACTTCTGACCAGTCAATTCATCTTGGAATTGCAATTTTCTTTTATCAAAGGTTCAGTACTGATTCAAAATTAATTGCTGCATATAAAAAGAAGAAAGGAAAGACTGATATTGTGGGGAGTTGAAACGATTTGGAAAAGTACAGTAATGCTAGAGTCTTAAGCTTAAGACTGCCACAGTGGATGATGGGTGAATATTAAAGATGGATTAAAGTCTGAATATTAAGTTTGCTTGGTTGGAGAGAACAACTATTATTAAACAAAACAACATATAAAGACTTAATTTCTCCATGATTTCACAGATGATTAAATGTAAGGCCACGCCCTCTTCCTGCTTGGAATGCACATTTCAACAATGAGGATTCAAAAACCTATTAAATGATTTGTTTTAAAAGATAAATTGTGCTTATTGTTTTGGGAACTATATTTAATAGAACATCCAAATGATAAGATAAAAAAAAATGAATAGTGGGGAAATTCATCATCCCTAGAACAAAATAATAAATCTTGTGGACACTTGTTTTACCCAGCTACAGTGAGATAGCTGGTATGTTGTTGAAATTCGGTAGGATGAACGATGGCAATATTATGCAATACTTAATTGCTCAGTTAGCAACTCTAATACATAAGCTTGATTTTGTATTTTGAAACATGTGTAATCTGGTGATACTAATTGACAAAATAAAAGACATTCAATTGTTATAGGATAACAATTAAAAATACAACATCATCCTTTATTTGTGTACAGTATCTGCGTCTGCATACATTTTACATATTTTTGGGGGTGTTTATGTTCCATAGCTTGCGTGTTTGAGAGTAACTGACAAAGCAGGACACTTCCCTTATTTAAGCTTACTACAGGGATGATGTGGGTGTGGGGATTTATTTCACATTGCAACAAACAATGGTAAAAAGTCAATATCAATGCCATTTTAATAGAAACACATTTCCTGCTGCCTTTCCTCACTGTATCCAACCTATCTTTGAAGTATCATATCCCCCTCGAACCTCCCCCCTATTATTTCCCACATATGCCTCTCTTTTAAAACAAGGCAGGCGGTTTCACACTCTAATCGCAACTAATTAGGACAGGTCGGCTGGTACATTTGAACAGTATCCCGAACAGTGTCCCTCCATGCTCTTCCTCCTCCTCTCCCATCAACCCTCTCTCTCTCTCCATTTCCTCGGACAGCCCTATCAGTGGGTAACATCTCCCCACACCACTGCTGCCTGTCTGTTTGTGATAGCGACCGTGGCAGTCTTCTCCACAGAGGCGAGCGATGTGCTGCCAGCCTCTCCGCTGGAGCCAGACAAGCCAGTACCAACGTCTGCTACAGGCGCGTTAGAGCATCAATTAATCGCCATTTAGAAGTGGTGAAAAAATGCATTTGATATACTTAAGGTTAATTAATACGTTGCTACTGATTTTGCAGGGCTAATTAATCAATTTAAGACTGGTCCCTAGTGCAAAGATGTCCAGATTAGGATGTCTAGAAGGAAACATACTGCAAATAATGGAAGAACATCAATTACAAGCATGGACATGGGGAGCTTAATGGTTGTTCTACCAATTATCATTAACACAGGAGAGCATAAATAGAGAAATTGATGGGAAATACGTAGAAGTAAGAAAAAACCATGGGAAAATTAAATACATAAAAAGGTGAAAGAAGTGTACACTGACTGTAGGATAATAACCAATTGACTTTAAAAACGTAGGACCAAGAAAGGTTCTGGGAATCTTTGGGACTTGAATTACATGCTTTGTGCACTTGTAGTTTTGTTTATACTGAGCCAGAGAATGAGGCTGCAGAGTACTGGTAGGCAAGCACAAAGAGCTACATAGAGTAATTGGGAGGGTGATGCTTGGAGAGGAAAGAGAGGACTTAAAATGGGATGAAGGAGGGAAGGGTGGGGTGATAGAAAGAGACATATAAAGTAGATGTTAAGTGCTGAGATGTGTAGAAAATAAACCCTGCAGGAAAACTACCCCAGGAACAGTGACAAATGACAAGCTCACTTTTCCTTTTCTTTGTCAACTGATAATGGACATACTTTTGTGCTACTGGTGTATAGTAAATGTGTATTCAAATGGGGAGCTACATTAAATCAGAGATATCAATACCTGAAAGTAGAGCAGCACATTACTGCATATTTTGTGTTTCAGTTTTCATCTATTTTTCTTTTTAAAAAGCCGAATTAATTAGCTTTAAAATGACTATGATCAATTACATGGCTGTACATGATCTTAGCAAGTAGCAGATGGGACTACTCTGGAGCTTACCACGCACAAGGTGACCATCTTTTTATTCATCTTCAACTGCAGGAGATCATACAACATCTGAAACAGATGAAATTATAATCTGAGAGCAGAAAATCTAATCCTAATAATGTTTTCTCTTGTAAATATGGACTCATAGTGAGGCATATCTGTTGCTTTGGAGCATTCAACTGGTATCTTTGCAACTTAATAAAGATGAACTGGAACACTGCCAAAGCGATGTTCAACACCTCTCACTCCTCATCACTGCTCTTGCACCATGCCTTGGCCTTCTGCCCCTGCCCTCCCCCACATTTTAGCTAAACCCACATGTTATTGGCTAAACATGCTGCAGCCAGTTAACTGTCTAATCTCACATCAATTGATTTCCCCAAACAGGGAGAGGTGGAGAAGTAGAACGAAAGTTGTGTGAGAATAAATGAGAGGGCAGTAGTGAGTGAAAAACAGGCTGAGGCAGGTTGCAGCCTAAGTTTCTAGCACCATCGGCCTTGTGTGTGTGTGTGTGTGTGTGTGTGTGTGTGTGTGTGTGTGTGTGTGTGTGTGTGTGTGTGTGTGTGTGTGTGTCTTTATTTGTACTTGTGCAACAAACTTTGGTTTGTGGGAGACCATCAAAAGAAAGCTGATCGAAGATAACACACAGGAAACAGAAAGGTAGATGGACAGGTTGGAGTTGGCACTATCAGGCAGTTTTAGTAAACACCAACCAACAATGTAGTATTGGACAGGTTTTACAGACTACTGACCAAAACATTCCTAGCTCAGTTTGTCATGTATTTTGTTTGTATAAATGTGATTATTTCAGTCCCTCACGGACAATTAAATAGTAACATCTTCAAAATGAGAAACATATGGAGCTTTTAATTGGCCAATTGCTCTTGCCAACGTGTGTGGCTTTTTTTATGCTAAAAAATGCTATCTAGTCAGACATGCATATTGCAGCACAGAGTGTGCAGTACAAATTGTCATTGTCCCTCCGCAAAGACTTAAACAGCCCTTCTGTTCCCTAGATGAATAGCACCATTACACAGAATCCATGTTCAGTATAGCACACTATACTTCTCGATCCAGTCAGTGAGATACATACTTCCTCCTGAGACTTTAAATCTTTATTTCTGTGGGAATATCTGTTTTGCCCAGCAGGTAATGGCCCACACCAAGGAACATGAGTGGATGAAGCTGCAGTGAGAAATGTACCATACCTCCTCCTGTTCTGTTACTTATTTCTGTACCTATGTATAATCTTGGCTTTCTTGCTCCTGTGAACCTGCACTAATCATGTGAGGCAGCTGGGGTGAGTAGGACTGTAACAACCCATATCTGGGGAGTTATTGTTCTACACATGTCATGTGTAATCTGCCCGACCCATAGTGCTTAGAATAATTATTCATATTTAATCACCACACTACGAAGCTACATCTCCTGCCGCTCACTAAGTCATTTTCCATGTTCCATTATCAAAGTTTCAGAGACGGGTGCTCAGGGAAGGGGGACTAAATGGAGAGGTTGAAGAAGTTGGGCTTATAAAAACATAATGGGCTTGTCTGCTTTGATAAACTGAGGACGTGTATATAATGCACACACACACACACACACACACACACACACACACACACACACACACACACACACACACACACACACACACACAACACACACACACACACACACACACACACACACACACACACACACACACACACACACACACACACACACACACACACACACACACACACACACACACACACACACACTAAATGAGAAAAGTGCAAAGAACAAAGTAGAGGACAAGAAGTAGCCCAGTATAAGTTGAGATTGTGAGCGCTGCGATGTGTTCAGGCAAGTCTGGAGCTCAATCGTTCAAACAAATAACCTCAAAAAAGGATTGATAGTCATTTGGTTGAAGTTTGTCTGGCTGGCACATCATCTTTCATTTGTCATATAGTCATATATAAGGATGAGAGCTCACCTTGCTCCAAAGGCGGTGGTTTCACTCCTGTAGCCTTCAACTTGAGGGCTTCTTTTGCAGACATGTCACAGCAGGAGCCTTTGTTGGTGTCCTGGTCACTGTCAGCCTGGTCACTGTCACCATGACCACTGTCTCTGAGGCTTGCTCGCTCTGGGTCTTTAAAGGTTGAACTGCTAAACACATTACGAAAAAAGGGAGAACAAAAAAAGAGATTTGTGAATTTGCTCTTTCCTTTTTTACAACTCAGAGAAAATGTAGAGACAGTATGAAACATTGATGAAAATCCCTGAAGGCTTAGGTAAAACAAGAAAAAATTATATTGATGGGATTTGGAGATAATAAAAACATTGTACCAGCCAGATGAAGATGAAATAAAAAGCAACACATCTTCTGTGTGATTATATTGTATGTATTATAGAGAATACCTAAATAAATGTACATGCTCTTTGTCTCCATGCTATGAAAACATCTTTTTAATAATCTAATGTAGTTGCTGATGCTATAGTACTCTGTTTGGAGTATTGAAGAAAATAAAACAAAGGTCTGAGATGTAGTGATTGGTATAGATCTCAACCCTTACCTTTGAACAAACTGTTGTCTGCTACCCATATAATTAGGCTCAGTGGGGAAATTGTCCGTCTGTGGAGAAGAAAGAGAGAAAAAAAAAGTATGTAACAGGCTCTACAGGAATTATTCCTGCTGTGAAACAAGATCTCCCAGTGACATATGATTAATTATGCAGAAAGAAATGTGGTAGAGACAGAGTAAGGGTAAATACAATACTGGGGATGTGAGCTCTATACCGTTTAAGTTTGAGCATTTCATTAACCACATAAAGAAATCCAATTAGGCTTTCCAGAGTAAACCGCAGAGCTGACCACCAAATCTGGCAGAAATGATCAATAACTGACAGTAGTCTTGATGAGTATAGAAAACTTGTCAGCCAACCATCTCCAGACCAGATATTTTATTGCAATTTTCTAGTTCCTTTCACAACAATTCTGTGAGAATCTGTTGACTGTGACCCTCGACATTCTTGTTTTTCTCCATAAACTAAGATATTGTTGGTTGGAACTGGGGCTTTTATATGAACCATGTGGCGTTTATTCCATATGGGGGGCTACCTTATCACACACAGGGAGCTTCATGCTATGTGAATACTGTCCATGCTTGTGCACACAAAGACACGCTAATACCCTAATACTGAAGTCTTACAGTACTTAGACAGCCTCACAAATAAACAGTATGCTGTGTATGACAAAATGCATCAGCAGGGTTTCCCACACATAGACTTTACTTGGGCGGGTCCGCCCAGGTATATTAACGGCCGCCCAAGTATATTTCGCAACCCATTTAGTTTTGTTTTTTGTTATTTAATTTTTTTTTTCTCGTCCGCGACCACAACTCCATCTGCGATCGATTAACCTGTGGACAATGATCCCTCGCTCTACGCCTCTTGTACCCAGTCATGGACTGATAATCGGGAGGACCGGGGGGTTTCATGACAGTGGCCATGATAGTAAAATATGCATGAATAAAAAAAAAAAAGTTATCTAGGGAAAAAAAGGTAAGATACACTTTTAAAACTTGTTGAGAGCTAAAACGAGTCTTAGCCGCTGCCTCAAAGAGGAGCAGGGGGAAAGGAGCAGGGGGGAGAGGAGGGAGACAGGAGAGGCTGATTCAGGGGCCCAGACACACTCACAACTATAAATGAACCAAAAATAAATAAATAAACAAGTTTCAGTGTTTTTTCCATATTGGGTATGGTATGTTATTGGTTATGGCCATGTTCTTATGATTTTATGATTATTGAAATGTACACAGTTCTGTTTCATATAGGTGTTCCCATAGATCTAGTCTCTTTATTTTCCCCTGATGCATTTAACTCCAAAATAAAATAAAAAATCTTACCCGGACCCCCCTAGAGGATTTGAGGTCCACCCCTGCTTAAAATCACATCGATAGGTTCCTAAATACATTTACAATTGTTTTTAAATAGTAACCCATGTCCATATGTTTATTTGTGGGTGGTAGATTTAAACTAAAGGGCTAGCTGTTCACTCTGCCATGGCATGAAGGGTCTGCTAACAAGCGACCAACAGAAAGGTTAATGTTGTTGCACGTCACAAAGTCACCTCAAACCCCTCTCCCCCCCCGCCACCAGCACCCCCCCAAGTATACTTCAGGTCTGTGGGAAACACTGATCAGTTTAATGGAACACTGGTACAAAACCTAAAATGCATAAACGGCACAAACACTCCTCAGCACTGTACGCAGTAGTGCATTACAGAATGGATCAATTACATGGGCGCTGGAAGTATTGTCTCTCTCTTCTTAATTATTTCAATAAGATATATGAGGGGTTTGTAATCTTGTCATTTGATCTAAAAGGTCACTAAGATCCCTGTTTCTTTCTGGCATTTACAAAAGTGGCTGTCAACATTGCTAATAATGAGAATGCAAACATGTAAAGACACAGAGAACATACGTACGGATAGTATGAAACTAATGTGCTTACATTTTTACTCACAAACCTATAGGAATAATAAAGTATGTTTTGGGTAAAGTCAGGAATTGTGGTAACTATTGGCTTCTAGAAATATAGCTTTCATTCTGTTGTTGTGGTTTTCATCACAGTAACACAAATAATATCCCTATGTAGTGCAACACTCTGTTCTGAATTGATAGCAGTAAAATGTCATGTTTAGTGAGTAATGTGTCCTTCTGCCAGGCTTTTTCACACACACAGCTTGACTCACAGTCGATAGAGTATTTCAATGTCATCCGTGCTCTGCAGTGGCACAGTATGAAAAAAGGGTGTGTGAAGGTCAGACAGGCCACCCCAGTCTTTTGACCTTCCATGTTTTTGCCAACACCTTTATCTCTACCTAAACACTCTTTTCAACTTTAGCCTTCGCCAAGATTAAAAGAAAACACCCACAGAATGTATCAAAGGCTGAAACTTGACCATGGGGTAAGAGAAGAATAGATGTTAGAAATTGTTTGGCATTGAAATTATAACAGCCTGAGTTTCTCAAAAAGAAGGGTTGGAGGTCTTTATATTAATGTCCTTGGATATGCTTGAACTCAGCTGTTGGAACTGAATTTGATCAGAATGAAAGTGCAAAAAATAGCCCAAAAAGTTTTGCTTGATTGTTATAGGATTCAATTTACTTTATGCACCTGTGCACATAGAGCAAATAACACATTGAGAGAATGTGCACGGAATTTGTGTTATATAACAATAGACTGAAGGTATCTTTTTTATGGTTTACCATTAAGGAAATAAACTTAAAATAGTAAAAGGTAGACTGTTCTTTGATAGTGTGTAAAATAGAAATACAGCAATGAATCCCGTAGCTTGGTATTCATGAGTTTTGTCTTACCATAAAGAATTAACATGCATGTCGCTCAGTTCTACAACAATCTACTGCCCCCACCCCCTACATGCCAATAAAAAGCACATTACACCACTTCATAGAAACCTCTTTCCTGCCAATTAGAGTCCAGGCTGATCTTAAGCTTCCATCTCTTCCTGTCTGTCTATAACTGCCCAGCCCTTTCACTACAATGGGCCACTTTCCAATTAATGGATCGATAATGGCCAGTATGAGCTGCTTTGTACTCAGCCAGTCAGAGCCCACAATGGATACAGGATAATTTGAGGGGGAATGATGCATACAATCTAGATGTCCAGTCGTTTCATTATCATTATTAGACACTGAATTATACAGTTCATACATTCATTTAGCAGTGCAAGTTTCATTGAGTTTTTTAATGTTGCATGCTTGCAATTCTTGCCTTCTAATTTCCTGTTGTGGGGCATCTTGAAATGAACTGAATTGAACTGAAGTTAATTGAGCGTAACTAAACTAACCTAAATTCAAATGCATCATCTTTATATTTAAGCCAAAATAATATCCTGAAATATGACATTTGGAATACAAAGGTTGACAAAAGTACCAAACCTTTTAAACAAAAGGTACATTAATCAGTTCGTGGTCACTGAACTGCTTAAATATCAGCAAAGGTTAATTTCATTAGCAGTCTTGTGAATGAGAATTGCAAAAGCTCATTGATGAATTGTACTGAATGATTGGTAATTGTATCAAGTCCACCTAGCAAGTCCACAAAGGTCAGAGAGATACTGAGTACGATGAGCTGAGTAAGTGTAAAAAGCTGCACTCTATTCTGTATTCCCATTGAGACCCTAAGACTGACCGAGCAGACAGCAGGACGATTGAGACAAATGGGACGAGCATATTGGTTTGCTATTCTACTCTCAGGCCTTGGTGTATTTTGGGGCAGCGCTGGTGTCTAAGGGGCTTTGTTGGTGTGTATTAGTCTATTGTGTACCTGATGTACTTATATGATTCAGTTTTCTTCAAGGTTGTGTCTTCCTGGTCGAATGTACTTATTGTAAGTCTCTTTGGATAGAAGCGTCAGATAAATGCAATGTAATGTGTACATGTGTGTTTGAATTGTAGGTAGGGGTTGGGGAAAAGGACAATTTGCAGCTTCTCTTTTACACATCATTGGACAGCTCTCTTTTATTTACAGGAATGCAAGTACACCCCCCCCCCCCCCCCCCCCCCCCCACCTACATGCATTTGTCCTTTACTGTCTCCCAAAAACACCTACACTCACTTTGTATGTATGCTTGTGAGTGGTTCCAAATGCACCATAACATTGTCAGTAAGCCAACAAGAAATATAAATGCTTTTTTAACTATTTTGTGCGTGTGTGTGCCGTTACCACCAAGGGAACTGTAGTTTATTCCTCTTGGAAAACTGTCACAGTAGCACAGCAACAGCCAAATAGGAACGAAGGGTAGGTAAAGGATAAAACTGAGGAATTGACCTTATAAGAAAGAAGACAGATTGGTATAGTTGAATGCAGCAAAAGCAGGAAATGAAAGAGGAAAACAAAAAAAAGGTGAGTAATACGGCAAAGTGAAAGGATGATAAAGGAAGCAAGGGAAAATGGGTGGAGAAACTGGACAATAATTAGACTGCATTGATTACCTCGTGGCTGAGGAGCAATTGTAAGTGATCAAATCTAATTAGATGGTCCTATACATCTTCCTGGAGATAACCGAGCAATCAATCAATGGGCTTAAGTGAACTTAAAGCCATGGCAGTCTGCTGCCTACTAAATATCTTCCACTATCTTCCAAATAACTTACAAGAGGTCAGGTCCAATGGCATTTCTGAGAAATAAGGAAGTGCCATTGTTGCCGGTAAATGGTGACTTCAACATAGAGATTTCAACACAGCAAGGACTTACCAGCCTTGGTGAACTTGCTATATATTCTGTACCAATCAAACATGAGACTTAAATAACAAAGATTTGCAATTTAAAGTGGACCTATCATGCTATATTTGAATAATATATTGTAGGGCCATACCTATATAAAACATGTCTGTGAAGTTTTTTTTTCAAAATACCAAACAGATCATGCATTTTAGCCATGCCTCATTTTGCTCTATTTGCTGTATTCCAGCCCTGTTTTTGCAAGGGCTGATTCTGTGGCAAATGAGCTGCAGCTGACCACGCCCCCCTGCAAAGGAGGGGGGCGAGGCACGAGCATCATGTTACCATGCTGTTACCATGCTGTTACCATGCTGTTACCATGCTGT